CTGACCTGAAAAAAATTTGCTAGCTCATTCAGTTCTTCTGCTATCTTCCTCATTTGAATAGCTTCCCTCGCCATATTGTCTAGCACTTCCATCGTGAGCCCTTGCGTCTCTGAAGCACTTCAACTTGCCAAGAGGCTAGCCTTCTCTGGTTTGAGAAAAGGAAGGGAGGTAGTCATGCCGTGTCGCTGTCTCCATACTCCGCCCGCTCTATCCTCAAGGTGCAGCACTTAACAGAGAGCAAGCAGAAGTGAGAGGGCGAAGATAAGTAGCGCGTCTGGCTACGGTTAGGCGTTTGGCTGGCCGGGTGGAGTATGGAGACGGCACTCGGGTATTGCCATCCTTTAGCCACGTACCCTGCAGATTTGACGTGAAAAAAAGTAGCCAGCTACTGCAGCTGCGTTCCTTTCCACCCACGCACAAGGAGAAGATCCACGAAGGGGAGCGGAGCGCGCCTTGGGTGTGTATAAGCTGCAGCACACGGAAGCGGTTTCAGCTCTCTGCCAACCAAAAAATCGCCTATAAAAGCTGCGGCATGAGGCCTTTCCTCAAGTACTTCACCATACTTACTACGTACTGACTCATGCGCATCCATGCCCACTGGAAGCGCTGCCCGCAGAATAGTGGTCTTCCTCATTTGTGTATTACCCACCGTTCAGCGCCTGGTCTCTCGTCTGCGTGCTCACCGGCACTAATACTAGGAAACTGCAAGGAAAAAGGCCTTATTGAAGGTGTCTCCAACAGGTCTCCTAGTTTTCTTTCATCGGCTGATGGCGAACAAGGTTTCTTGTCGCCTTGTATCCTGTTTTCGAGGGTGCAGGATGTAGTACTGGCGTCTGATAAGAACTGGCGCCTGCAAAAGTAAGTGGCCACAAGGTGATTCTTTACTTACGCTGGATTTCATCAATCATTCTAACCCAGTTATCCAATGCCTCCCATTCGTAGAATGCGTGACTGAAACGTCATTTGAATATTTTTTGATTAAATTCTAAGTTTCCAATTAAAAGTGCTATCAAGAAAGAGGCCTCTGTCTTACGCTGTCGATGAGCTCTTGACGGATAACTTATCCGATTCCATGGACTTCGAAGGTGATGTGGGCCTTGGCACTCTAAACAACTCTGTGAGTTTAGTCTTGATGACTGCTGTTTAAGGCCAGTTCGCGCCCTCGAAGTTATCAGAGGAATGCTGGGTCAAAGGCCAAAATCTTACCTGAGGCGGGGCTCGAACCCGCATCCCCTGCTGGTCGGGTGAGCGCGCTATCGATTACGGCATAGCACAAAAGCCATTGAGCCAAGAGGATAGGAGCGGTCCCGATAACAGATAGTGCATTCGCTCGCAAATCGTGAGGTGTGGTTTGGATTCTCGCTCCGTCATCCGAACTGTTTCCTGGGAATCCGAGTGAGCCCGATGGTCGTGGAGGACCTTGTGCGCCACCTTCTCTGGCTCTCCATTCTCGCCTGGTCCTCTAGGTGATCCAGGTCAAGCGGGCGCTTCTTGGACTCCCTCTTGGCCTGGAGCCCCAATGAGTCCATCGGGGCCAGGTTGTCCAACATTTCCTTCCAGTCTAGGAAGACCTGGGTATGACTCTGGGGTCTGAATTTTACTCATAACCCGGCATTCTTGGGATAAAATCCGTCAGTGTTCAATAGTCAAATGGGTCAGTAAGAAAGGCCGCGACGTGAATCGAAAAGTGCGATCGAATTCGCGCTGGAAGAAAAAGTGGTCCTGACTTTCAGTTTACTTCTCAAAAACGGGCTGACGTTTCAGAATAAAAGGCGGCCGTCGATATGGATCTACCGTTGTCCATTTTTCCTAGCCCGGATCACAGCGCTCTCTCCCTTCTCAGATGTTGTCGTACGGTGTACCGATAGGGAGCTGCGTAACCCTTGGAGGTGTGATCTGCTCACTCATCGCCATCAATGCCATCATTCAGCAGATTGACGACATGCGCGATGAGATCGTCTCAGGAGTGGAAGAGATGAAGGTATGCCAGCTACTGAATTTCATGATTCTGGACCTCTTTTGATCTATAGCGCGTTTAGGCCCTGTCCGACGACGCATGGACACGTCTTGTCATACTGAACGCCAAGCATGGACGCTCCAACATCATGGAAACATTTGCTTCCATCGTCGCCCGTCACAAGAGATCTTACGAATCCTACTGCAACTGTGGCGTAGAGTCACAAGGTTGCCCCCCTGGACCACCTGGACCACCTGGAGTTCCAGGCAAACGTGGAGAGCAAGGCAGCCCAGGCGAACCAGGACGTCCAGGAGCTAGTGGAATATCTCTTGTGTAAGTTGACTTGCTCCCTAGGCTAGTGAATTCAGATCTGAATCTATTGATTGCAGCGTAACGCACGACATCCCAGGAGGATGTATTCAGTGCCCTCCCGGACCGCCAGGCCTAGACGGAGCAGATGGGCCTATTGGTGAACCCGGATATCCCGGTTCTCCTGGACAGATGGGAGAAGCCGGTTCAGATGGCACACCTGGTGAAGCAGGACCTTCCGGAGATGCAGGAAATCCAGGTCTTCCTGGACTTGAAGGAAACGCTGGACAACCTGGCCATGATGGACTGATTGGGGCTCCAGGCCAAGAGGGAGCTCAAGGAGCGCCCGGTTGGCCTGGAGCACCTGGAGGACCAGGCAAGAATGGAGAGCCAGGAGAAGACGGCGCACAAGGTCCTCCAGGACCACCGGGCCCACCAGGTTTCCCAGGTAAGAATGCGGATGACGGAACCCCAGGAGCCCCTGGAAGAGATGGTGCTATCGGAGAGGACGCAAACTATTGCCCATGTCCTGCTCGCAGTGAGAAGAAGAACTGATTGCTCTGAAGATCGTATCAATCGATGCTATTCAACTGATAAATCATTCTGCCCTATGGCTTTGTATGGTTTCTTATACTGCTGTCAAACTGTCCACCTACCGTAAGAAGGCTTTGCGGTACTGCTGATGCATCATTATAGCTTCCTTCCATTTTTCAAAATCTTGGTCGTCCACTGGGATCAGTACTCGAGATTCCACCTAAAAGTTCTACTCAGCCTATCACACCTGTCTTACAACTTTGCAGGCAGTTGCGCGAAGCTTCAAAATTGCATATCGCTGGACCTTAAAAGGCAAGCAGCAGTCCACTGCAGTTACAATGGGGGAGTAGGTTATCCGTTTGTGTCTCGTTCATTGGTCCCATCCCTTCTAAGGCAGGTACAAGAGAAGGACGTGGGGCCGACAAGGAAGATGGTGACGGTAAGCTGTTACGCCCCATCACGATAACCGCGGGTTTGCTAAATTTGGCTACACTGTGTGACTTAACTGAGCATGGTGTCCATCCATTTGAAAGAAACGGCCTCGTCGCGGGTTCCCAGTCCCCGTGGTTCACCAAGTATGCAATTAAGGGCTCATTTTAGTGGTACCGTACTTATCTAGATGGGAAGGAGAGCATCGGCGAAAATATGAGCTTGCCCTGTATGAACTTCTGAATAGGTCAAATATTGAGGAGCCTCTACGTGTGCACTAACTGAAAGCATCTCAAACGACCAACTGGCAATTAAGAACGCGTCTCCGTGTGTTTGAAACAAGAGGATCGTCAGTTCGCCGGATGCTGGTGGGCGTCGCGTGCGATCGTCGTAGCCAACAAATGACGATGGTTCCGGTTAATAGATGGCCGACAACAGAACAATTCAGAAGCCGAAACGTAGCGTGATATGTCACGACGACGGGGTCTACATGGCGCTCGACAGGTTAGCACGCGTTAAAGAACGTCGCGCCCAACGCCGCGCGGGCGAAAGCGCAAGTTACGGATACCTTGCCGCGTCTCCCCTTTTCACGGCGTCCCGCTCCATTATTCTTCAGTTCAGTGATACTGTCGTTCTTGACAGGCTGTCCGCTTAAAGACAAGTAGGGGCAGAGCAAATTCAAATCTGTTCTTTATACAGCGTTTTTCCCCATCTGTGTGGAGTCTCGCTCGGCGGAATATGACAGTATTCCTCGCTACCTTCGTATCATAATGCAAAACTGTCGAACTCACTCTAAATTCCAGTACAATGGTTCCTCCTTCGTCCTTCAGTGAAATCTGAAACTCCATTATACCAATTCAATTCTACTTGCTTAAAGGCAGTTGGCACGATAAATCCCCCAAGACGACTAGGATCAATACTCCTGGCAGGATAGAATTCCGCGACCCTGGGCAGGCGCTGCATAGCGGTTTCCCCGAGGAAGGTGCCCTTATAAGGGCCCTAACGTCCCAAACGCCCGCCACGCCCGCCCGCCCACAAATGGACGACCGTTCCTGACGCTCGTATTCATTCATTTGCTAAGCAAATTATGAAGCGAAGGGATTGGTATGAAGCGGCCGTGATGCTGCATGCATATATGGGTACACATATGCAGCCGTATCTTCGGTAGCGGTGATTGGTAAGATGCCTACGGGAAACTCGTCCGAAATCGATTTACAAGTCACTGAGAACGGAGGCTTTTTCTTCGCAGGATTTTGACCGTTTCACTCCGTTCTTTCCCACTATACAGCGCCCTACTAGCATTTTAGGCTAAGTAGGAAACCATCGTGCCAACAGCCTTTAATATACCGCGGTTAGTTCAACAGGCGATGCTGTTTGCAACACGAGTACGTTGCACTACACGAACGTCATATTGGTGCTCTGGGAGTCTAGCGATCTCGTAATTCTCCCGGAGACGGGGTTTAAAGTTCATCGTGGTTTGGCACTAGCTATTGTACGGCAAGACGCAGACGCCGGGCGTTTTGCGTCAAACGAATGCCATGCTAATACTAATTGTAAGTCAGCAGGTACCCCAGGAGACAAACTTGTGGCCAAAATGACATTCTGGTATAAACCTGGACGGTGGTCGGGCTACGGACGCACATCCTCTACGACTGTTGTAGAGGATGGGAAGTACCCAACTATCTCATCTTCCAGCTCAAGTAGTTAACCTAT